CGGGCCCGGACCGGCCGAGCGCGGCGAGCGAGCGGCCGAGGCCCCAGCGGCGCCGGAGGCCGCCGAGGCTCGCCGCGCAGCGCTCCGTGACGATGCAGGCCTCGCCGTCGATGGTCACGGCGCGCGCGACGCCGGCGGCGTCGTCGCCGTGCGGCGGCTTGCAGCGCGCGTGCCGCAGGCCGCCGGAGAGGAGCGCCGCGGCGGCGCCGTAGCGCGGGTGCGCGGCGTCGAGGCCTTGTGTTGCGTTGCATCGCTGGCGCAGCTTCGAGGCGGCGAGCAAGAGCAGGAAGAGGTCCAGCGCTTTGGCTGGGACGAGCATGGTTGTGTCGAGGGCGCGTCCGACGCTGCTCGGCGCGAGATCGCGCCGTGCAAGGCGTCGAGGCGAGCTGCCACAGTCCGCGTGAGCACCACAACGTCAACGCAACATGAATCGGATGACGCCGTAGCTTATGGGGCAGCCTTCGGAGGCGCGCGGGGGTGGTCTCGCGCAGCGGCCGGTGGTGGAGCTCGCCGCGTTGGGTCCGGTGGACGCTCGGGGAGGAGCGCCCCGCTGCGCGCGTCGATTGGGCGGCGGGGCGCCGCGCGCGAGAACTTGCAGTGCTTGGCCGTCGGCGCGACGTCGCCCACGGGCCCGGGGGGCTGCCGCGCGCGCTCGCTTCGTTCGGATGCCTTCGGCGTGAGTCTTGGGGGGAGCTGGTGGGGTCGGCGCCCTCGATGGCTTCGGTGTGCGGGCTTCGATGTGCCCGTGTCCATTCGTTTCTCTGCATTCTGCAGCGTCTCTTCGTAGCGTGGCGCTGTGTGCGGCTCCGTCGGCGTCGGCGTCTTCGCTCTCTTCGTCGGCGTCTCTGCTCTCTTCGGTCCCGCTGACTACGGGTGTCCTTTTCGGCGTGCGCCCTCGGCTAGCCACTCGTGGTCCTGAGGTGAATCGGCCTGGTCGAGCCGGAGTTCCTGCTCGTTTGCGTGCGAGTGCCCGCGGTCTCAACCTCCCCCGGTCCACGGAGAGTCCGGTGAGAGTGTCGTCTGAATGAGGCGACTCAGGAGCTGCCGCCCGGCGCCAATCCCGGCGTGCTCTCGGCGTGGCGGTCGGTACCAGGCTTGGCGCGAGTGTACCGCCGCCACACCTCCGATCCGAGTGCACGCGCGATCTTTGGGTCGGAGGAAGGGGCCGGTGTGGGAACGCCAACCCCCCGGCTACGCCTCCGTCTGAGCCTCCGGGCGGGATCTTCGGGTGCGCACCCCCTTCAATAACTAGTCCAACTTCCCGGACAGTGCAGTTTACGTGCGGGGACAATCCCCCCGGGCCGCTCAGGAGCCGAAGATGGTCGAGAGGGCGAGCTCGACGGAGGCGTAGTTGGTCTTCTCGAGGGCGGCGTAGGCCTGCTCGACGTCGACGCCCATGTTGACGACCTGGTTGACCATGTCGGCCTTCTGCGCGTCGCTGAGCTGGCTCGGCGGCGGCGCGGCGGCGCCGCCGCCGCCCTCGACGGAGCCCATGG